TTTTAGGGCTATAGGGCTATAGGACTATAGGGCTATCGGGCTATAGGGCTATAGGGCTATCGGGCTATAGGGCTATAGGGCTATCGGGCTATAGGGCTATAGGGCTATAGGACTGTGACCTATAGGGCCATACGGCTATAGGGCTATGGGGCTATAGAGCTATATGGCCTATGGGGCTATAGGGCTATAGGGATATAAGGCTATTAGGGCTATAGGGATATGAGGCTATAGGGCTACAGAGCTATAGGGCTATACGGCTATATATATATATATATATATATATATATATATATATAGGGCTATAGGGCGCTATAGGGCTATAGGGATATAAGGCTATATAGGGCTATATATATATGAGGCTATAGGGCTACAGAGCTATAGGGCTATACGGCTATATATATATATATATATATATATATATATATATATAGGGCTATAGGGCTATAAAACTACTGGGCTATTGGGCACCCCCGGGCACTCCCGGGCACCCGGGCACCCGGGCCCGGCCACCGAAATCGGCCACGCACCTCACCGGCCACCCGGGCACCCGGGCACCGCCGGGCACCCGGGCACCCGGGCATCCGGGCACGGCCACCGAAATCGGCGACCAACCTCACCTAACCCTTTAATCCGCTAGGACCCCTACAGAGGCAAGCTCTGATTGGGGAACATAACACAGCATAAGTCCAGCAAAACAACGTTTAGGTGCAGCCCTGTTCCCAAGGTCTAGCCGTGAATCCTTTCTCTGCGCAGTCCTTGCACACCACCAGCCTCTTCCCCTGGCACATTTGGGCGATTTCGGAATCCCTGAACCCAAACACGTTTTCATCTTTGGGGGGCGCATGTTTTACTTCCGCCACCCTCCGCCGGCCTTCCGCCAACTTCCGCTGGCGGAGGCGGCCTCGTAGTACTTCCGCCGACCTTCTGCCGCTGAAGAGATGACACCCCCTTCGATCCCCGAAGGTGAGGCCCTTTTTGGAACGCCCCATATGGTACCTTGGTTGGGTCTGGGTGATGTGCTCCTGCCGCGCGAGCATCGCTTCGCACGTCCCCTCCCAAACGTATGTCAGCCCAGCGTGGCTGCAGACCATGTCGTCGTGCACGACGTTCTAGCCCACACCTCGCTCTAGAAACTTCCATGGGCTCCTCACTCCGTCTGGGGGTCGGCGGAAGCGCGTGAGCCTCTTGGGCCGCAAAAATTGCCATCGGACATGTCTCCTGAATACCCTGGGGCGCACCCACCGCCCCCGTGCCCAGCGCGAGAGGGTCGCCCCGTGGCTTGGGGGAGGAAGCGAGCAGCAGCAGCAGCAGCAGCCAGGGAAAGGGAGGGGGAACGCGAGGGCAGCAGCAACAGCAAGCAAGCAGGCAAGCAAGCAGGCAGGCCGACAGTAGCACAGCGTGCCTGTCGTGCTTCCTTCATGGCCCGAGGGGGTCTGTGGGAAAAACACACACGTCTGTGGGGAAAAAAACAAACACTGTGGGAAAACACACACACACACAAAAACACACTGTGGGAAAACAATCACAACATAGAAAAACACACACAAACACATAAACAGAAAACACAAAAAACACAACACAAAACACAACACAAACACACACAGACACACACACACACACACACACACACTGGGAAAAAACACACACAGAAAACACAACACAAAACACAACACAAACATACACACACACACACACCGTGGGGAGAAACACACACACACAGTGTGTGTGTGTGTGTGTTTTCCCACAGTGGTTGTTGTCCCACTGTGTGTGTGTGTGTGTTTTTTCCCACGGTTGCCCGAACTGGTGCTGGCGAGCAGCTGACGCCCCCCCGGTGCGGATCGCCCTCTCCCGCGCGCTCTGCAGCTGCGGGCGGCTCCGCCGCTGCGGGCGGCTCCGCCGCTGCGGGCGGCCCCGCCGCTGCGGGCGGCGCCGCGCCCACGGCCGCGGCGCGCAGCTCCGCGGCGCGAGGCGGCGCGGCGCCCAGCGGCTCCTCCGCGCACGGCGCGCCCGAGCCGCCGCGCGGGGCGCCCTGCTCGCCGGCGGCCCCGGAGGAGCCCCGAAGCAGGGACTTCCTCCGTCCTCGCGGGAGGCGTGCACAACCCAGACCCCCTCGAGTCAGGCAGAAATCACGACGGGAAGTTCTTCGCCAGTTTCGGCATCTGGGGGCCCTTGCCTGGCCTCGGGACCGTCACAAGACGGCTCGGGATGAGAAACCGATCCCGGGGAAGGGGTCGAGACCTCTAAGGCTCTAAGGGTCGACGTCATGAAAAAATTATGACGTCGGGGGTCTGGACACAAGACGGGGGTGGGGCCACTCTCGGGTTGTGCTGGGGGCGCTCTCGGATCGCCAGCTGCACGCAAGGGGTGACCCCAGGCAAGAGTGGCCTTTGGTGGGGGGCTGGCTTTGGTCGTGGACTCTTGTTCCACTACCACCACTATACTCCATGGACGGCTGACCCAGGTAGTGGTTTGCTGGGCGCAGACGGCGCTTTGCACAGCAAAGCACTACCACAGGCTCTAGGTCAGCCGCCCCTGAGCTATAGTCGTGGTAACGAAAAGTAGGATCAACATTTGGGGGGGGGCGGGGAGAGGACCAAACCCAGGCACGCAAGCCGCTGCTTTCGCATCGCGTGCAGCGATCGGGGGCCCCGCCGGGCCCGCACCAGAGGCCACGCCAGGGAAAGGTCGCTCGCGAGCGTGGCCGAGATCGCCACGGCTGGCCGCAGCTTGGAAGGCCAGCCAAGACGGACCTCGGGTGGGGCCTGGGGGGCCAGCTTGGATCGGATCTGGGCCGGGGGGGCGGCCTCCTGAGAACGCGGAGAGGGGCTGCCTCGAAAGACCCGTGGGCGCCCGAGAAGGCTTCCGAGCAGGCGGGGGGGCCTCCGGGAGGCCCCCTGCCCACTCGGGCCGAGCGAATTGACGCCGCGGCAGCTAAAAATCGATCCCCGGACCCCCTGGGGGCCCAAACGCTCCAGAGTTCCGAGCTGCGTCCGCCCCGTGGCGACGAGGGCGCCCCAGGAAGGCCACCTGCCGCTGTCCCAGCTCGCCCTCCCGCAGCTCTCTGAGGACCGCCCCCCCTCGCGCCGGGCCCTTGCGCAAGCCGCCGGCCTTGGCCGGCGCAGCTGGCAGCCTCCGCCATGGCCGCCTTCATCTCGTCGATCGAGGTGCCGAAGGAGCCGAGGGCACGCCTCGCGCTCTGCACGTCCTCCACCAGCGACGCCGCGTTCGACGCCGCGGCGGACAGCACCTCCGAGGCGGGGCAGCCCAGGGCGGCCTGCTCAGCCGGCGGCCCCGCCGCGGAGGCGCGCGCGGCGCCGCCGCTCACCACGCTCTTCCTGGCGGCGCCCGGGTGGCCTCCGACCTCGGACATGACTCTCGTCAGCTGGTCGAACGAGGCCGAGAGCCTGCTGTACGCGGACCTGGCCTCCTGGACCTCCTCGGCCACGCAGGAGCTGATGCGCGACATCGTCTCCAGGAACTCGTCCGCCTCGTCCTCGACCCGCCGGAGGGGTTCGCCCTCGGGCCCGCCCTCTATCAGGAAGTCGATGTCGGAGGCGCTGCTCTTCCGGGCCACCGCGTACGTCACCTTCAGCGACGTCAGGAACGCCTCGGCGTCGTCCAGATTAGTTCCCAGCGCCTGCTGGGCGGCCTGGTGGGCCGTCGCTGCCGTCTGTGGGCCGTCGAGATGGAGAGACTTCGGGCAGCTGCCTGCAGCGTCCTCCACCCCAGAGGCCGATGGAGAACAACTGCCCGCATCCCTTCTTTCACCTTGGCAGGCCCGAAACGGGCATGGAAACATTGGGCACGATGCCCAGCAGCAGACGTTGTCAAAAATCGACAACGGCCGCTCATGGGCAGGCGACTTTTTGTCCCAAGCGGGCCGCAGACACCTACAGCGAGCCCTGCTCAGTAGGAGAGAAGGAGGAGGAGGAGGAGCAGGAGGATGAGGAGGAGGAGGAAGAGGAGGAGGAGGAGGAGCAGGAGGAGGAGGAGGAGGAGGTCTCCTCGTGCCTGTTTCTCGGAGCAGGGCGCGTCGAGACCACGGCAGCTCAGGATCGGTCCCCAGACCCCTCCCGGGGTCCGCACGCATTAGTTCTAGGTCGGGCATGCCCCCCCTGCAGGCAGCTTTTGGACGAAACATTAAAAAAACGGAGGTGAGGGGGTGAGATCGAAGTGAAACGGAGAGCCCCCCTACCGGGAAATCGGTTTCGGTTTCGTGTTCGTGCGTGCCGTGCGTGCGTGCGAGGCAAAGCTGCGTGGGCGGGCGAGAAGAAAGTCTACTCCGGCTGAGGCGCGGCCGGACCCAATGATTCCTTTCCGGGGGCTGGTGGCCCGCGGTGTCCCGCCGGAGTCCCGCCTCCGGCTGAGGCGTGGCCAGACCAAATGATTCCTTTCCGGGGGCCGGTGGCCGGCGGTGTCCTGCCGGTGTCCCGTCGGTGTCCCGATGATGATGATGATGATGATGATGATGATGATGATGATGATGATGATGATGATGATGATGATGATGATGATAATGATGATGATGATGATGATGATGATGATGCTGATGATGATGATGCTGATGATGTTGATGATGATGGTGGTGATGATGGTGCCCCAATGATGATGATGATGATGTTGACGATGCTGAGGATGATGGTGATGATGGTGATGGTGTTGCTGATGAGGGTGTCCCGATGAGGATGATGTTGATGATGATGATGATGCTGATGATGATGGTGTCCCGACATGATGATGTTGATGATCCTGATGATCCTGCTGGTGTTGATGATAATGAGATGATGATGGTGAAGATGATGATGATGGTTTCCCGATGATCATGAAGTTGATGATGATGCTGTTGATGATGATGGTGATGATGATGATGATGGTGTCCCGAGGATGATAATGTTGATGATGATGATGATGATGATGACGATGATGGTTTCCCGATGATGATGATGATGTTGACGATGAGGATGATGATGAGGTGATGATGATGATGATGTTGATGATGGTTTTTTTTGGTGTCTGGTTAGAACTACGAGGAAGCTCCCGGGCATGTGCAATTTGGCATGCATGCTTGCACATACAGAGACAAGGGGGCGGGAGACACATCGCGGCAATCCGCGGAGCAAGCCTCCTCACGCCCCAACCGCACTTCAGCGGTCCCCGTCACTGTCATTAAAATCGCTGCCTTCAGACCCCTACTTTCGCGCACAATCGTGCTGGAGCTTGAAACTTTTGTAGGGTACAGGGGTCTGTAGAACCCTAGAGCTTTTGGCGGGACTTCCCAAGCCAGACCGCCGACTCTGAATCTCTTGGTTCCCCCATCCACAGATCCTTCTCCTCCTCGTCATACCCCTCCTCACGGTGTTTCATGGTTGTCGCGAAGGTGCAGGTCGAGGAAGCCTAGCTTACACATGCAATATCGGAATGGAAACACACAGCGTCACTCCTCAGGGCTTGCTACCTGGGAAGGCCTCTCCAAGGCAACACATCCCTCCCTCTCCGCGTATCGCCAGATCTATGGTTTTGCCCTACCCGTTTCCCAATTCGTCCCGTTACCGCCGCCACCATCCACTGGGCAAAACGATCTGCCGTATCTATGAAGGATACACGCCCTGCGCACGCGTGTGGGGCACGACTAGTGCACGACAATATGTGGTGCTGCCACGCACCAACTGCAAAACCATTCCCGGCTCAGTTAGGCGCAGCTCTGCCCCATGCGTCACCAGAGGATGCGCCTGTGCCGCCTCAGTGCTCGACATGATCGGACCAACCTGCGAGTCCTAATCTGAGTCTTCGCTGTCTGAGTCGTCGCTGTCTGAGTCCTCGCCTTTGTGGTTAGAGCTATCAAACAGCGCTGGCGTCAACTCCAAGGCAATGCCCTTGGTCTCCACCACAAAGGTCCAGACGAAGAGTCCACAACCGATGTTCAATATTGCGAATACATAGAAGGTGCCAGTGATGCTCCAGTTCATCAGCACGGGCGTGATGTACACAATCAGCGCATTGAACATGTAGTTCACGAACACTGCGATTGACAATGCCTTTTCCTTCTCCAACATCGAGAAGATCTCTGAGGGGTAGATCCACGGCACCATCCCCCAAGCAAGCTGAAAGCCGCCTCCATAGATGCAGACCATAGCTGCAACGATCAATGGGTTCCACGCCATCTGCAAGCCCATAGAAGCTACGACGAGCGGCGGGCCCATGATGGCAGTAGCAGCCAATAGCTGGCTCCTGCGTCCGCCATACTTCGAATCGATCAGGACGAGGCCAAGGATGACGAACAATATCATCCAGAGGTTGAACACCAGGGTAACTTGGATGGGATCATCAAAGCCGCACTTCCCGAAAATCACCCCCGAGTACGAGAGGAAGGCGTTCACACCAGTCAACTGCTGGGCCATGACGAGGCCACATGCTATCAACACTCGCTTGCGAAGATTGCGCTCTTCGAAGAGACCAGTATAGCTCACCTCGGTCATATTTTTCTCTGCTTGAATCTCCTCCCACATCTCCTCTGCTTCAATGTCCACATTGCCCTCGCGAATCTTTTGAAGCTCTTCCTTCCCCTTTTCGTAGTCCCCTGTGGAAGCCATCATCCACCGGGGCGACTCTGGGAGGAAGAATGACGCAAGCGCGAGAATTGCCCCTGCAAGTCCTGGAAGGAACATGCCAAATGCCCAGTTCTTGTAAAACGTACAGATGAGGGTGGCCACGAGACTTCCGACCGCGACGTTCAGCTGGAAAAACGAACCTGTCAGACCGCGGATTGACGGGGTGGAGCACTCCGAGTTGTACACTGGCAAGACCAAGCAAGCCACGCCGACGCCAAAGCCCGTGATGAAGCGGCCAACGTAGAAGACGGGGATGCTGCCAAAGGACAGGTACGAGGCCAGCAAGCAACCCATGCAGCAAATGAACCCTCCGATGCCAATGCTCCGTCTGCGCCCGAGCTTATTCATCATCACGGGACCAAGTGTCAACGCCCCCGCGGCGGCACCAAAAGTGATGAGCGTGCCACCCCAGAGGATGAAGCCGCCGTCCCACTCCTTGTTCTCCTTTACTAGCTCACCGTGGCAGTGAGCTTTATCACCAAAATTGCGATCGCACCAGTGCGACTCGAAGTCCTCGAAGACAGACACGACTCCGAAGTTACCTTGGTCAAGCCCAAACATCATTGCCCCAACCATGGCCATGGCGATGGCAAAGAACATCGTTCCATTCGGCTTCGCCGTATGGGCTGAGGTCTGCTTCACCACCGCAACCTCCCCCCCCGTGTATGAAGATACCATGGCTGCACCAGGTTTGCCCCCGACGTGCTGGCGCGCTTCCTCTAGAGCAAAACTTCTTGCACCAAAATTTCTTGAGCCAAAATGGCTACGGATGATGATGTTGATGATGGTGGCCCGATGATGGTGATGACGATGATGATGATGATGGTGCCCCGATGGTGATGATGGTGATGATGATGATGGTGGTGATGATGATGGTGTCCCGATGATCATGATGATGGTGGTGATGATGATGTTGCTGATGATGATGGTGTCCCGATGATGATGATGATGATGTTGATGATGTCGTGCAGGCTGATGATGAGATGCTGATGATGGTGGTGTTCCAATGATGATGATGGTGTCCCGATGATGATGATGTTGATGATGATGATGATGATGGTGACGATGATGGTGTCCCGATGATGATGATGGTGATGATGATGTTGTTGATGGTGATGAGATGATGATGATGATGATGGTGGTGTCCCGATGACAATGATGATGATGATGTTGTTGTTGTTGTTGCTGTTGATGACGTTGCTGACGATGATGTTGATGAGGATGACGTTGATTGTGAGATCGATTGTGATATCGATAGTGAGATCGATCGTGAGACCGAATGTGAGATCGATTGTGAGATCGATTGCGAGATCGATAGTGAGATCGACTGTGAGATCGATGGTCAGATCGATTGTGAGATCGATCGGTTGTGAGATCGATCGAGTGAGATCGATCGAGCGAGACCGATAGTGAGATCGATAGTGAGATCGATCGAGTGAGACGTTGGTTCCTCCCCCCCCGAACCTCCTTATCACCCAAAGGGTGGTCGTACAGGTAGTCAAGAAATACCCTGAAATGCTCAAAAATGGTCAAACAAATCGTCTCAGACTATTTTTTACAATTTTTAGGATAGTCCTCCTGTATAGGGACATGCCCGACTTAACATCAGTTTTCCGAGCTGCGTCCAGCCGAGGCGACGAGGGCCCCCCCCCCGACGGCCAACTACCGCTGTCTCAACTCACCCTCCTGTGATAATCGGCTCGCATCGGATCGGATCATCATCATCACCCGGCCCTCTGGCGGCCGCTCGGGACCATCCCGGCACCGCCGAGACGCTCTCTGCGGGGCGCAGCTGCTGGAGAGCATCCCGAGGCACGCTGGAAACTCACCGAGATCCGACGACAACGCCCGAAAACCTCGAGCCCTGCCCCCGCCGCCCATCGAGTTGCCTGACTCGTTGGTCGGCGAGGGCAGGGTCCGGATTTCGCCGCTGGCGATCACCGCTGGCGCCCGTCCACGCGCTGCTGGCGCTGCCGGCAGGCCCCGCCTGGCGCCCGGCGTGGCCAGCGCCGGCCGCCGCGCGCGCAGCGCCGCCGCCGCGCCGCCGGGCGGCCACGGGCTTGATGCGGTCGCTGGCGCCGCGCTCCTGCAGAAGCCGCGCCGTGGACCGGAGGCCGCCACTCCGTGCGCAGTGCAGGGCGGTGCAGCCGTGCCTGTCCTGTGGGAGGGCGCCACAGGGCGCGGGCTAAGCCATGTTTTGCGTGTTTGCTGTGTTTTCGTTTCTCCCTCACTCTGTCCTCGATCCGCCGTTGCTGCAGAGCGAAATCCGCCGATCCGGCATGTGAGTTTGCTAAAGCAACAGCCTGAGCTTCAGCTCTGCTGGGAGGAGGCCAGGTGGCTTTGCCGGGGAAGGGGGGGAGGGGGGGGGGTCTACCCTTTCCCAGGGGCGGCCCTTTCGGGCCCAGGAGAGCCCCAACACGGGCATAGAAGACCCCAATAGGCTCCCAAGACGGCCCCAGAGGGCCCCGAGTCATCAAACTATCGGTCCAAGACGCCAGAGCTGGCCTCCATACCGCCCAAGGAGCTTCCAAGACGCCCGAAGAAGCTTCCAAGAGGGCTCCCAAGAGGTCCCAAAAGGCAAACATTGCCACATTCCCTCTGGAAAACATACTTGTTCAGCATCTTCGCCTCTTAGGCTTCCACAGCGTCGAAGACGGCTTAAGAGGCCCTCATGATCGCTCCAAGACGGACTAAGAGGCCCCCAAGAGAGCTCCAAGACGGCCCAAGAAGGCCCAAAAACGGCCCAAGAAGCTGCCAAGACGGCCCAAGAGGGCCCCAGGACGGGCCTAAGAAGGGGCCCAGAGGGGCAGCGAAAATGAAATTTCGAGCCTTCGACCACCCTAGGAGGCCTCAAGAAGCCTCAAAATCAAACCCTGCTTGCACGCCGAATGAAGCTCATCCTAATCATCCTCATCCTCATCCTCATCCTCATCCTCATCCTCATCCTCATCACTATCACCATCACCATCACCATCACCATCATCATCATCAACAACAACATCATCATCATCATCACCACCCCGTGGGCATGAGGACCCTCCTCTTTTGTTCCTCCTCCTCCTCCTACTCCTCCTCCTCCTCCTCCCCTCTTCCACCTTCTGCTCCTCCACCCCTTGTTTTTTTATCTCTATCCTTGGATTACTATCATCCCTCCTCCACATTCTCTCGACTTCTTCCTCTTCGTCCTCAGCCAATATAGAAACAAATAAATATCCTCAACATCAGCATCATAATCGTACTCGTCGTCATCATCACCAACAATATCATCATCATCATCATCATCATCATCATCATCATCATCATCATCATCATCATCATCATCATCATCATCCTCATCCTCATCCTCATCCTCATCCTCATCCTCATCCTCGCTCTCCTCCTCATCCTCATCCTCATCCTCATCCTCATCCTCATCCATCATCATCATCATCATCATCATCATCATCATCATCATCATCATCATCATCATTAGCAGCATCAGCATCATCATCATCAGCATCATCATCATCAGCATTATCAGCATCATCATCAGTATCATCACCATCAGCATCAGCATCAGCATCATCAGCATCAGCATCATCATCATAATCAGCATCAGCATCATCACCATCCTCATCATCATCGACAGATGCAATTACATTATCATCGTCGTCATCGTGGCATCGCCGCCGTCGTTATCGTTAGCGCCACCATCATCAAAATGGTCATCATAAGGCTCACAGCGCTTCCATCATCACAATCGTCATGAACAAAAACCGATGACCACAACGGCGCCCCAAGACGGTCCCCAATGAGCCGCTTGGCGAGGTGTCAAGCCAAAGGTTCTCGGTACCTAGCCAAGCGACCATCCTCGACGATTCTTCTTGATGTCCCAAGCTAGAAATACCCCGAAGAGACCCCCAAAAACGCCGAGGATGTCCTCTTCGTCCACGTCTTCCACGTCCTCCTCTTCCTCCTTCTCCTCCTCCTCCTCCTCCTCCTCCTCCTCCTCCTCCTCCTCATCCTCCTGCTCCTCCTGCTCCTCCTCCTCCTCCTCCTCCTCCTCCCCATGCTCCTGCTCCTCCTCCTCCTCCTTCTCGGCCTCCTGCTCTTCCTGCTCCTCCGGCTCGACTCCTCCTCCTCCTCCTCCTCCTCCTCCTCCTCCTCCTCCTCCTCCTTGTCTTCATCCTCATCCTCCTCCTGTCCTTCTCCTCCTCACCATCCTTAGCATCGCCATCATCGTCATCATCATCTTCAGCATCAGCAGCATCATTAGCATCATGATAGTCATCTTCATCAAGATCATCGTCTTCATCATCATCAGCATCATCATCATCAGCATCATCATCAGCATCATCATCAGTATCAGCATCGTCAACAGTATCAGCATCAGCATCATCAGCATCATCACCATCCTCATCAGCATCAGCAGCATCAGCAGCATCAGCATCAGCATCATCACCAGCAGCATCAGCATCATCATCATCATAATCTTCGTCCTTCTACCCTTTTCTCCTCCTCCGCCTCCCACCTCCTGAGCCTCCCCCTCTTCCGCCTCCTGATTATCCTCCTGCTCCCGTTGACTCATCCTCCTTTTTTTCTCATCTCGTCCTTCTCTTTCTCCTCCTCCTCCTCCTCCTCCATGCTGGCATTGTCTTGCCTGTGCTGGCCAGTAGTGTCACACCCAATCCTCCGCCTCTTCCTCCCCCTCCTCTCCTCCTCCTCCTCATCCTCCTCTGGATCCACTCAACATTCTGGAGGTAGGAAAAGGGTATGGTATAAAGTGGTGCTAATTTTATGGAAAGGGGACTCTGGCGATGTATTTATCGCAGATAGCATAACCATTTCTACGATTGGCGCCATACCCCTTTACGCCATGCCCCTTTACGACCTCCAGGAACATTAGTCCGCAGACCCCTCCCGGGTCCATCCCGTGCAGGTCTTCATCGCCAGGTCTATGTTCGACGGTCCCCATGCATGAGCCCATGAGGTCCCAAAGAAGCCCCCGGAAGCATCCAGTATGCCTTCAAGGACGGAGGAAGGAGGGGAAGAAAAAGGAGGACCTAGAGGAGCGTCGTTGCCGCCGTCGTCGTCGTCCATTTTGACGCGAATCCAGAGGGCCCCGGATCGGCGGCACTGGCCAGAAGCCGCTACAATCAAAACGAGAACGGCCCACCAACTAACAGCAGAAGGTCTCTGGTGATGCGCACCCCCGGAAAACTCTCGGCCGGCATTCAAGCTCGCCCTCCCCCTCCTCGTCCCTCCCCTCCTCTTCCTCCTCAGGCCTCCTTACTTCCTTGTGCCGTTTTCGGTCCCAACCCGTTCAACAAATAGCACGCCTCCATGGTGCGCCCTCCTGGCTCGGGCAGGCAGTCCCTTGCGCCGACCCTGGGCCCGGTGTTGAGTCCTCCTTTTGAAGCGACGACGCCCCGCGTGCTCCTCCTCCTGCTCCCTCTGCCCCCCTCCCTCCTCCCCATCCCTGCCTCTGCCCTCCGCAACAGCCAGCTATTTCGGCACACCCCGCGCACGCTTCGTGGCCCCATAGGGAGCTCCAGCGAAGGCCCCAGCGGCATGGTCCACATGGCGGCGCCGCCCCATTTGGGCGCACCCCTCACACGGTTCGCAGCCCCACAGGGAGCTCCACCGAAGGCCTCGGTCGCAGGGTCCTCATGGAGGCGCCTTCCCATTTTAGCGCATCACTCACACGGTTCGTGGCGGCATTGGGAGCTCCACCGCAGACAGTGACAGGGTCCACATGGCGCCGCCGCTCCATTCTGGCGCATCCTTTCGCACGGTTCGTGGAAGGACCCAGACTGGGTCCTTTCCACTGAGTGGCAGGAAACAGATGGCGGCGCCGCCCCATTTGGGCGCACCGTTTCACACGGTTCGTGGGGAGCTCCGCCGAAGGCCCAGTGGCAGGGTCCACATGGCGGCGCCGCCTCATTCTGGCGCACCCTTCACACGTTTCGTAGCACATTATGGAGCTCCACCGAAGGCCCCTAGGGAGCTCAGCCGAAGGCCCCAGTGGCAGGAATGGCGCCGCCGCCTCTTTTGGGCGCACCGTTTCACACGGTTCGTGGCGCCATAGGGAGCTCCACCGCAGGCCCCAGTGACAGGGTCCACATGGCGCCACCGCCCCATTCTGGCGCATCCTTTCGCACGGTTCGTGGCCCCGATAGCATGGTCCACATGGCGGTGCCGCCCCATTCGGCGCAACCTTCACACGGTTCGTAGCCCCATAAGGGGCTCTACCGAAGGCCTCAGTTGTGGCAGGGTTGGCATGGCGGCGCCGCTCCATTTTGCCGCATTCCTCACACGGTTCGTGGCGCCATAGGGAGCTCAGCCGAGTGCCCCCAGTGGCAAGGTCCACATGGCGGCGCCGCCCATTTGGCGCACCCCTCTCACGGTTCGTGGCCCCATATGGAGCTCCGCCGAGGGCCCCAGCGGCAGGAAACACATGGCGGCGCCGCCCCATTTTGGCGCACCCCTCACACTGTTCGTAACCCCATGAGGAGCTCCACCGAAGGCCCCAGTGGCAGGGTCCACATGGCGATCCCGGATCATTTTGGCGCATCCCTCGCACGGTTCGTTGCGCCATAGGGAGCTCCGCCGAAGGCCCCCAGTGACAAGGTCCACATGGTGCTAAAAACGCGTGATGTTCCATGTCAGCATGGGGCACGATTTGTTGCCCCCCCAGCCTGTTGCAGCAGCACTGGGGGAATCCAGTGGTCCCATCGGCGTTGCTTCGAGCACCATGTGAAGATCGGTCTGAACTCAGTTTCTGGCAAGATAATTGCATACACAGTTCAGCACTGGCGGGAGAGAAAGGTTTGCAGCAGCGCCCCACCACATCCGCAGCCATCCATCAGCCTCAGAGGCCCCACAAGAAGCACCGTGCTGGCAACACGCATTTTGCACTGCACAAGCGTTGAGTCCAAGACAAAAAGCGCTATGATTCTTTATGTACCCATTCGATCGCGCCGTTGGACCCCCCAAATGGGTACGGAAAAAATGGGTACGATGCCCAACAACACATGTTGTCCCAAACCGGCAGCGGCCGCTGTTGGCCAGGCGGCCGTCTCTCAACTGGACAACGACCGCGGCGACACCGACAGCGGGTCCTGCTCAAAATGAAAAAACTGCTGTTGGTCTTCGTGCCCGTTCTTTCCGCACCCATTCCGACCGTACCGATCCGAGTCCCTGGGCGGGAAATAATGGGGAGGGGAGAAAGGTGCCCTTTTCGGACCGAAAGGCCCCCCTTTGGGGCCCTACGTAAAGGGCCCCTGCAGGAGCCCTAAAGAGCCCCTGTTCGGCAGCCCTCGAACCCCCCCAGTCATCGCCCCCCCATTACTGGGGAAACCAAAAGGTACCGATACTGCTACTCCCAGGGCCTCTCCTGGGGTGCGTTCTGTCCAGAATTTGGAGGCGAATCCAGCGGTGGCAACGAGGGCCTCCCAGGAGGCCCCAAAAGGGGGAAACGAGGGACGGGTAGCGGTATGGGTACGTTCGCCTCCTCCGACCTACGCACCCGCCCGCCAGGAGTCCTGGGCGTTCAGGATCCCCGGCGCCACGCGCGCGGCCAGCCACGCCACCACGTCGTCGAGGCCAGCGCCCGCAGCGAGGTGGAGGGCCGACTGGCCCCTGCGGTTCCGCAGGTTCACGTCGGCGCCCGCGGCCTCTCGACCACCAAGGGCTCCCCAAAGTCTGGAGCCACTGTCTCCGCGCGCGAAGACAAAGCCAGGACGAGGACAACATCGGGCGAGGACAACTCCTCCTCCTCCTCCTGCTGCTCCTCCTCCTCCTCTTCCTGCTGCTCCTCCTCCTCCTCCTCCTGCTGCTCCTCCTCCTCCTCCTCCTCCTCCTCCTCCTCCTCCTCCTCCTCCTCCTCCTCCCCTAAGACGAAGCCGGGCCAGGACGAGGATAACGTCGGGTGGGGACAAGCCGAGAAGCTCTGAGATCTGGCGGCTCCGGAGGACGTCTCGGGCGCCGCGGCCTGCCCAGGAGCGCGCCGGAGCGCTGTGAGAGCGCAGCGCAAAGCCCTGGAACGAACTTACAGTGGGGGCCCGACCACAAGAAACCTTCCACAAGAAACCCAACCCTGAGACCCCAGGACATCCATTGGTTTTTGGTTTTGGAACGTCACGCTTTCCATCGCAGAACCATCGAAACACAAAAAACCCAGGGCACCCCGGAGGCAAGCAGGGTTTTTCCTGGCATGGGCCCCACTGTATCCTTGTCCCCCCCCATCCGAACCATCTTCGCGCTTCGCGCACCGCGAAGCGCAACTGATCTTCGCGCTTTCGCGCCATGCCCCCCCCCCCGAAGGGGGGGGGCGGCGCGAAAGTTTGGTGGGCAAGGGAAGCGGAGGAATTACCGCCCTAGCACCCTTGGGCGAGAGAGGCCCGAGATCCGTGGTGGCGCACAGGACTCGAGGCGCTCTCTCCGCGAGGCCGCGCCCTGGGCAGAGGAGCACCGGGGAGTCCGAATCCAGCGCTGCTGATCACATCCGCGCTCTCTCTCTCTCTCTCTCTGTCTCTCTCTCTCTCTCTCTCTCTCTCTCTGTCTCTCTCTCTCTCTCTCCCCTCCCCCGGCACAGGATGAGGGCCTCGCGCCTCGCTCGGAGATTGCCCAGCCCGCGAGGCGCGAAGCGCGCCCAGCCTGGCACCCGTCTGGTGGCCCTGGCAGAGTTGTCCTTCCTCCTCGTCGCCATCTGCGCACCTGAGGCTCGTCTGAGCATCTGAAGCATTCTGCCTCCTCCGCCTCCTCCCCCCTAGAGGCGCCCGCTGCGGCCGCGGTCAGTTTTTGTTGGCTGCGATTTCTGCCCACGCATCACGCGCGTGTGCGACGCAGCGGGTCCCCCAGTGTGGTTTTGATGTTTCGCTGCCCAGTCTTTGAGGAGGAAGAGGGGGAGGAGGAGGAGGAGGAGGAGGAGGAGGAGGAGGAGGAGGAGGAGGAGGAGGAGGAGGAGGAGGAGGAGGAGGAGGGGGAGGGAGAGGTCCTATTGCTTCCTCCCCGCCGCATCAACGTGGTGTCAGCTCGCGCGCGTGCCGTTCGCAGCACGAGCCGGGCGGAAGGAGATCGCGACGCAGGTCATGAAACCCCACCCAGACGTCCAAGGCAGTGCAAGCTACCCCACGCGAAATGGTCAAGAAATCATGGGTTAAGAAATTCATGGTCTCAGAACTCGAATGAAAACCCAAAATTTCTATCAAAATCTTAGGATTTACATCGAAACATTAAGAATAATCGAGACTCTGGCCGAAAACTCAAGTTTTCTTAAGCATCGCCCAAGGTGTACCCCAGCCATCACGGCGCTTGGCTCGGGCAGCCGTCATCGGTTGCGGTGGGGGTCTTCCTTGGCCTGCTATTAGGGGGGTCGGACTTCTGGGGGTCAGAATCCGCGAAAGGCAAACGAAAGAAAGCAGACTTCCGAGAAAAATGCTGGCCCTGGCCAAGAACGTCCAAGGAAAGACCAAGGAACAGCCAAGGATTGTTTATGTTTTGAAACAAATGCAGCCCCGAAGAAGGGAAGCCCAAGGAATCGAGCTTACCTGTTCCCGACCCTCCAAAAAGCGGACCCCCAATTGACAGGCGAATGAAGTCCTCCAAAGTCGTGACCGTTACCCCAACAAAGCATTCTACCTACTAGCAGCAGCGGTGAAGAGGCGGCTCGAGGAGTAGTCGGCTAGTGCTAGGTCGGGCGTGTCCCCCTACAGGCGGATTTTGGATGAGAAACAACACAACAATAAAACTAAACAAAATATCTAACATAGTTAAAAGCATCGTCCCCCTTTCGATTATCTGACTATTTTTGAACATCCGCCCTGAAGAGGGACAGGCCCGACTTAAGGCTGGTGGCAGGGGTGACAGCACGGCCACAGGTAGGGAAACGAACTCTGTACACCGACGCTTTTCCCGACCCTGCGCTGAAATTCGCCCAGGAACGCGGATGCTGGTGTATACGGGATCCTGGTGTATGCATGTTTCGTTGCTTCCATTGGAAGACGGGGGAAACAGTATACACCACACCACCCCAGCGTCGTCCCCGACCCTCAAGAAAGTCCTGGGATTGAAAAACCGCCCGCCACCGGTAATTAATGTATATGCTCCAGCTTCCGAAAAGGAGGGACGAACGAATGCTGGCCTTACTTGCGACGACGCGGCGACCTCACGCCGCGGCGTGCGCGGGCCAGGGGCGCGCGGCACGCCGCACCAGAAACGAGGGCGCAGATGCGCGACCGCACGCGGGCAGCTCACGCCCAGGTCGGGCCCGCCCCCCTGCAGGCGGATTTGGGACGAAAAATCAGGAATAGTCCAGCAAGGCCCACAAATAATCCCAAAATGATCCAACATCCTTTTTTTTGTGACTATTTTTGTATATGCCTCCTGCAGAAGGACGCCCGACTTAAGCTTACGCGCCAATGTTGGCGAAGACGACCCTACTTCCCTGCGTCGCCCACCTGCGCCATGGGGTGTTCCCCCCTCCCCCCCCCAACACGATCGCAGCGCCCGCGGCCTCACTGCGAAGAGAAGCCCCCTCCTCGGGGATCCACTGACGCGGGTCAGTCGGGCATCGCAGGATTCTGCGAGATCCTGCAGGATCCTGCGCCGAAGCCCGGGTCAGTGCACCCCAGGCCCTGCAAGATCCTGCACGATCTGGCGCTCTGGCTGACCCCCCGTGTGCATCGACCCCCGTCTCTTGAGCGCCGACTTCCTTTTTATCCCTTCGGTGCCCAATCGGGAGCGGCCAAGAGGGGGTTGACCAAGAGGGGGGTGCAAATCATGGCCGGCGGCATGTGCGCGGCCCAGCGGGGGGGCCTGGGACGTAATGAAATAAGAAGAGGCGCCATGAAATCTGAGGAAAAATCATGGCCCGCGCCATGAAGTCCACCCCCCCCTTGTCATCACCCCCCTCTTTTCCGCTCCCGACCCAAGGAGGGGGGGGCGGGTCCTGGGTCGGCATGCCGCCCGCCGGGGTCCCGGCGGGCCCCAAAGCGGGATCGCCAGCGCCCGGGGGAGGCTTTTCGCCTCCCCCGGCCCGCGGCCCAGGCCTTCGCAAAACATGCTTTTGCTTGTTGTTGCTGTTCGTTTCCAGCCTCCGGGGGGCCCTCGTCGGGCCCCGAGGCGGCCAAAAACTGCGCGGGACGAGAAGCTGCCCCCCTTGAGGGTCGGGGCCTCTGGGGGCCCCGCACTGCAAAAGCGCCAGGGTACGTTTTTTTTTTTCTCGCGGCACGGCAGAGGCAAGCCGCACGGGCGCTCAAGTCGTCGGGGGCGCTCGACAAACGAACTGTCCGGCGGCAAGAGGGCGCTCGCGGGGAGGAGGAGCGGCCGCGGAGAACAGGAGGGCAGGGGAGGGCATTCACACCTGAAAGCGTTTCAGGATGAGCGCGCCGGAAAACGCCAGGGTACGCGCCAGCGGCCCCGGATGCTGCGCGGCCTCAGAGGGCCCCGGAGCAGGGCTCGAGTGAAACAGTGTTTTCCGTCTTCGCTTCGTTTTCGCCATCCCCAGTTCTGTCTTCGTTCCACACTTGCTGCAGAGCGAAGTCAAAACGAAAACGGCCCACGAAGTTGCCAAAACACCGTTTAGCTCGAGCCCTGCCCCGGAGCGGCCAAGCCCGAGCGCGCACGCCAGTGCCGGGGAGGGGCCTTCTGGGCCCGCCTCAGAGGTCACTCCGGCGATGGGCCAGTCAAGGGGAAACCAGAAGGTACTCTCACGGGGTGCGTTCTGACCAGGATTCCGCGGAGAATCCCAGCCGTGGCGACGAGGGCCTCCCAGGAGGCGCGAGAAGGCGCGAAGGAGGGAAGGGAATGGTATCGGTACGTTTTCCTCCTCCGAGCTCATATATTACGAGCAGCCCAGCCTCCAGCTGGGAACAGATTTCCGGCGTGCCCGCGAAGAAGATGGGAGACTGGCCGTGGCAGTCCGGGGCGTCGACGTCGGCTCTTGCCTCGACCAGCAGGCCGAGGGTACTCGCCGAGTCGCAGTAGGCGGCCAGGTGCAGGGGGCTCACGCCCTTCGGGGTCGCCGCACAAGGGTCCGCCCTCGCCTTCAGGAGCACCTGAGCATCGTTTCACCGATCCCCAATCCCACTGGCACGGCCTTGGACCCACTGACCGATTTACCCCCTGGATCCTAGATGGGGATGTGTGGTGTGCCCTTCGGACTTCGCGGGGCCTGCCCCAAGCAAGGGGGTGGGCTGGTGGGGCTGAGATACCTGGTTACCATGGCCCTGTGGGGATAAGGAGTTCTTCAACAATGTTGAGCGCCGACACTGTGTCTGCCTCGCCCGCCTCCACGGCAGCCGCCAGAAGCGTCAAAGTCGACGCCACTGGCGACAATCCCGCTGGTGTCGTAGCGAGGGCGACGCTGGCGTCTGCCACCATCGCCCGTGCGCCGGCTCGAGGGCGCTCGCGTGTGCCAAGAACGTCGGCGCCCTCGAGCCCACCGGCAATGGCTGGAGCCAAAATGGCTAATGACCCGGGGGCAGCGATGTTGGCGCTTCGCGCTGCACGAAGCGCGAAGAACTTCGAGCTCTCGTGCCCCCCCCTGGGGCAGAAGAGGAGAACAGGGAGGATAGGGATGCGGAATTGCGAATCGCGAATAACTTCGCGCCCTCGTGTTAGGTCGGGCCCGCCCCCCTACAGGGGGATGTACGACGTTTTTTTATGTAAAAAAATAAAAAAATTTAAAAAATGCCGCAAAAAGGTCAACAAATACCCCAAAAATAGTCCCCAGACTATTTTTGGAGTATTTTTGGACTATGTTTGGTGTATGTTTGATTTTTCGGCGAAAATCCCCCCGTATGGGGGACAGGCCCGACAGAAACCCTCGTGGCGGCCCTTGACTGCGGAGGACAACACGAGCAGGGAGGAGGCGGTGAGCCCGCGCACGGGTGCAGACGCCTGTCCGTGTGCCGGGATCATGCGAGGCCCCGTGAAGGAGACATCATGCGCGAGGCAAGCGCCCTCGCGCGACCAGACAGGAACGGGCCCCGAAATACAAGGAGTGGGATATGGCACATCCGCTTTCGCGCGTGGTTGTTCGGCCAACAACGACCGTCGACCACCGACTGACACATGTTTTTGCACATCCAACATACTGGGAGCAAGACATGCCAATCAAACATATCTGCCAGAGTGTCCCCTTGCACGTCGAGGCGTGGTATCATGCCACGTGCTGTCTGGTCAGGGTTCTGTAACATTCTAAGGCCCCCCTCACCACGCAGTGTTGCATGTATCCCTCCCACTCCCAAGGGTCCCTGGGCGGCCAGACGCCTCCAAGGGACTCTCGACGACTCTCCAAAGCTTCCAAGGCGGGTCATCCGTGTCACCATGACCACCAATATGGCCAAGCATTGCCTGAAAAGGCACAGGTTAGCCCGCGAGAACAGCTCAAGCGACGCCGAGGGGACCCAGGAGGCCCTCCAGGACGGCCCACCTCACCTCAACATCCAGGAGAACCCTTGGGTCAAGCTACGCTGCGCTTGATGGGCCCCGCGGCTCGAAATGGTTCCAAGAGGGCCTCGGAGGAGCCAAAGGCAGGAGGAAGAGGGAGTAGGAGGAGGGAGGAGGAAGAGGAGGAGGAGGAGGAGGGAGGAAGAGGGAGGAGGAAGAGGGAGGAGGACGAGGGAGGAGGGAGGAGGAGGAGGAGCCCAAAGAGGAGCCACAAGAGTTCAAGGATGGCCTCAGGCAGCCCCCACGGACGGCCCAGGACAGCACCCAGGACGGCCCACGAGAGGCGCAGGACGCACCAGGACGGCCCAAGAGAACCCCCAAGAGGACCCACGACGGCCCACAGGGGGCCAAGAAAATCGGGGGCGCGCAGACATGGATTAGCGATCCACGGACTTGGCGCGCGGTCGCCAGATCCATGAATTCGGCGGAGGTGCCCTCCCCAAAATGCGGCCAGTGCCGCCTCGCTCGGCGGCGGAAATCCGCGAGTAGCCATGGAAGCGGGACCCGTCCCTAATCCACGCCCCCTGAATCCATGTTTGCGATCGCCTGGGTAAAAGGCCTCACAGCAGGCCACGACAGCCCCAAGACGGCCCAAATAACCCCCTTGAGAGCCCCTCAAGGAATAGAGGCGGGAACTTGGCCAGCACGGTGGCGGTGGCCGCAGGCCGCCGGATACGACCGAGACCCGCGCCGGGTCAGATCCGTCATCGTCGGCAACGAAGACTCGGCGTCGTCCTCCACGCCAGTTTGACTACGCGCCTGGGTCTGTGCGAGAAAATACGTTTCTGGCGAGTGCCCAACATATAGCCAGCTACCCCTTGAGACTCCCGTCTCTCCACTCTCTCCCCATCAGGGCGACGATGCGCTGACGGCCGATCCTTCTGTCCTCCAGAAGAAAGTGAGCGGCGTCAACAGCTGAACGCCCCCCCGAGCTCACTGACTAAGCCGAAGATGCCACCTTACGTTCGCTGTCCAGCCATGGTTTCTGAGTCCCCAGCTGCTGACCAATGCCCTCGCGCGGCAGACAGGAGCCCCCCCCCAGATGCTCATGCCCACGGGAGACTCAAGGAGGGTCTCTGACTCGCGCCTTGGACTTTCCATTTGGCCAAGCGTTGCGCACATCGGCCCGCTGTAACTTCCCCTGGGTCTCCCCAGCAGACCTTCTGGCATCAACTCCTGAGCACGCCATCATCCAACAGTTGATCCGCCACCGTGCCCCCTGGCACGTTGAAGCGTGGATGAATGCCAAGGTCTGCGTGGTAAGGTTTCTGGAATCTAATGAAGGGCCGGCCCTTCCTTTACTCGCAGGGTGTTGCGTGCATCTCCCCTACTCACCGAGGACACTTTCTTCGTGCCCGATCGAGGGTAATGCACTTCCAGCCTGGCAGCTAATGCCTAACCTCCCATTCCACGCGTGCCCGCTCGAGGATGGTGCAATTCCCACATGGCAGCTGACGCCTGAACCCCCGTTCCACGCGTGCCCGCCCGAGGATGATGCACTCTCCACTTGGCAGCGAATGCCTGAACCCTCATTTCATGCGCGCCCGCTCGAAGATTGCGCACTTCCCGCATGGCTGCTGACTCCGAGGCCCCTCATCCTACGCGCACCCGCCCGAGGATTGTGCACTTCCCGCATTCCCGGCCGCTGCTCCTACGCGCTCCAGGGCCTCCCAAGCAAAGATCCCTCGTCAAAACACTATGGATATGGTCCCGAGCTTCCAAGGCGGGCCCAAGATGCCATGACGACGGCCCAAGATGGCCCCAAGGCGGACGAATATTGATCCAAGACGGCCCAAGATGCATCAAAGGAGGCCCAAGAAGGCCAGAAGAGGACCTCCACCAAAATCCGACGAAACCAACACCATTGATTCTCCTTCCGGTTTTCTCCATGATGTTTGCATTCTCTCCTTTTCGGGCTGCCGTCAGCTCAATACGACCCAGGGGTACACCATGATGGCCCAAGAGGCATCCAAAACGGCCCCAAGACGGCCCAGGAGGACCTCCCGTGGGACCCAAGACGGCCTTAGGAGATCCGTCGGCGGCCCAAGACGGCGCCGAGACGGCCCCAAGACCGCCTCATGACGGCCACCAAGCACCTTCCACACGGCCAAAAAAGGCTCAGAACGGCCCAAGAGAGCCCCGCGGCACCGTAAGAGGGCACCAAGACAGCCTAAGATGGCCCCACGAGAACCCCCAGGACTGCCTCACAGGAGACGACCTCAAGACGGCCCAAACTACTGTCATCCTCCTCTTCCTCCTACTCATCACCACCACCACCACCACTATCATCATCATCGTCATCAACATCGTCATCATCATCACCGTCATCATCACTACCATCGTCATCATCATCAGCATCATCACCATTAAACTTATCAGCATCCTCCTCATCCTCGTCCTCATTTTCATCCCCATCATGATCTCACCACCACCACCATCATCATCAGCATCATCATCATATTCATCAGCATCACCAGCATCATCATCATCATCATCATCGTCATCATCACCATCATCCCCATCATCATCACTATCATCACTATCAGCATCATCTTTAAACTTACATCACCCTCATCATCCTCATCATCCCCATCCTCATCATACTCATCATGACCATGGTAGTACCACCACCGCCATCAGCATCAACATCATCATCAGCATCGCCATCATCATCGCTATCGCCATCTGCATCATGATAATCAACATCATCGTCATCAGCAGCACCATCATGAGCAACATCGTAACCATCAGTATCAGCACCAACCCCCATCGCCCCAAAAATCATCGATCATCGTGCTCACCACCATCGCCATCGTCATCGCCATCATCGTTCACATCATCATCGTCACCAATAGCATCATCATCACAATCGTCGTCAGCAACATCATGAACAACCATCGTCAATCATCATCGTCATCAGCACCATCACCATCATCATCAAATCGTCACCATCATCGTTATCGCCTTCTTCAGGAACATCATCATAACCATCATCATTGTCGTCGTCATCATCGTCATCGTCATCATCATCGTCATCGTCATCATTCGCATCGTCAGCATCATCGTCACATGCACGATGAGCCTTAACAGACCTAATCACGAGTATACCATGTTTAACCAGTCCCTCTGGTGACAAACGAGTTGTCGTCACTCACCGGGCACGTTGGTCCTGTGCGGACCTCTTGTGACTCCACCCTGCTCGATGCCAAGGCGAAGGCTTCCAAAGGCCTTGGTGCCCTGCTGCGTACTACCCCCTGCGCAAAGGTTAACCGCATCCCCCGGATAATAAAGGACCCCCCCCTCAACCCATTGTATCATGCTTGCCCCCAGGCAACTGATTTTTGGCGTGAGGGCAAGGGCGCCGAGGCCGAAATGTATTATCACCGGGCCAAGTACCAATCGTAGCTGATCTTTTCGCATCGCGTAGCATTCTGATCAGTATCATCATCAAGGGTGTATTGTTATATCATACTAATTCACAAGTTTCGCGCTCCCCCAAAGAAGCCCCACCTGAGCGATCTTCTTATGCTGAGCAGCAACTACTACAACTACTACTACCACTACTACTACTACTACTACTACTACTACGACGACGACGACTACGACTACGACTACGACTACGACTACGACCACTACTACTACTACTACTACTACTACTACTACTACTACTACTACTACGACTACTACTACTACTACTACTACTACGACTACTACTACTACTACTGCTACTATTACTAAGACTACTACTACTTACGACTACTCCTACTCCTACTCCTCCTCCTCCTCCTCCTACTACTGCTACTACTACTACTACTACTACTACTACTACTCCTACGACTACGACTACGACTACGACTACGACTACTACTACTACTACTACTACTACTACTAATACTACTACTGCTACTACTACTACTGCGGCCACTAGT